GAAGGAAGGAAGGAAGGAAGGAAGGAAGGAAGGAAGGAAGGAAGGAAGGAAGATGTGTAGAGGTGGAATAGATAAAGTACGAATAGGAAACAAGCAAAAAAACCCCACCTTCATTCTTTAATATTACATCCTTTAGATATTAATTAATATAATGAGCTGTGTCAACTAGATTGGAATTCGCTTGCTTCTGCCCCCTTTTTTTTTAGATGGAAGTAGAGTTAGCTAAGAGCCTCCCCTGAATGCATTTTCTGCGCTTTTCAATAATGCGTTGAATGGAGGGAATGTGAAGAGTAAGTTAAACTGGGTGAGACAAACTGATTTAAACTAGGTGTATGAAGGTTAATGTAGCAAAGAAAACCCTGCCAATTTTGTAGTACAGTTGCTATAGTGAAATTGCCACCTATAGCTGGGAATTCAGCTTGAAGAATCAATGGTGTGGATGGTTCTAGCGTCATAATAAAGGAATAACGGAGTATCCAGTCTGAACTTGAGAAACAAGTGGATGCAGTAGTTTTTATGACCACATCTGTAAGAGCTTCTAGGCTGAAAAAAATAATGCAGCAGTCCACCAGTTGCTATCTTACAGGTGGTTGCATCTCTGTCTTCAGAGACATGGGGAATGGCAAACAGCCATGCAGTATAAGCTACTCCAAGGGATATGGCCGGACTAGCCTGTAGGTCAGGAGCGCACAACTTTTCTCAGTCTAAGGACTGTACCATGGCAAAGGCTATCCTTCAAAAGCGGCGGAACCAACATTCAATTTTGGGAGGAGGCCTTAAGGGATTAACAAACCTTCAGCCTCTGCAAGGTTTAAGGCAACCATTTCACCACCTGAATTTCCCAAATCCCCCAAAAAACAAACAAAAAAGACCTTGCTCAGGGGCCACAAAAGAGGTGCTAGTGTATCACATGTACCCCTGCAGTTAGTTCTGACATCTAACGTCTTATTTCATGAACCATCAATATCTAGAAATCAAGATTTTCCTTGTTAAATATAAACAAGTGAATTTTTGGTAGGGGTGGGCATAACTGTGGACATTATTTGAGCAAGTCATTGTTTCAGTTATTAGAAACAATGTTTTATTCCATGTAGGCCATAATCAGACTGGATTTTAGAAAAACAAAGATACTTTTCAATAGGTTTGTATACATCCAATTATGTTTGAAAACCTTCAGAAACACCTGAAGCCGGGATATTGTTAGCATATAAATTATTGTAATATTATTGATGCAGTGTCATTTTCTACTACTGGAAGTTTTGGATTTAGATGTATATGTAGATAGTTCGTACAGGATACAAAAGGAGGGCTTTATTTTTGAAGATACAACATTTGAGAATAAAATATTGATTTTTTTTCCCCCCAATGGCAATTTGGCCCGTTCAGCCTCCTTGCAAGACAGAGAGTAGAAAGCCAAGTGCTCATTGCCATTTATATTCTGGAGTCATTTCCATGGAATGAGGTTCTTAATTGTATAGCCTTGTGAGGTTTGATAATCAGATTCTCAAAGCCCTAAATTGCAAAAAGTTATCTATACAGGAAGTTACTGCCTGTAAACAAAAACAGGTTGAAAATATTTTGGAAACCAGACTTGCAGGAAAAATATTTTGTACTATTTATTTTTTACGAAATGACATAATGCTCTCACTCCTATGTGAATAGTGTGTTACTGCCTTGGAATACTTATTATCAGAATAATTCACTATCCATATACATTATTCACTAGTTTCCCTGTAATTTTGTAAGAATAAATTTGTCTCGTGACATGTTTCACAAACTTTTTATTTAAATCAAGTCCTACTAAACTGGATTGTTAATGAGTCGGATTCTGCCACAACTGGTTTTTCTTCTTTCAGTAATAATACTTTTAATTGTGTAATATTGATAATAACAATTAGTCAGTTACTCCATTGTGTTGACGAAAGGGAACCATATCCAACACACACCATAGTTATGATGTGTGTTTATCAGAGCTTGCCTGGCAAAATTACTGTGATGCCACTCCTACAACAACTAACAAATACTGCAGGAAATAATTGTATTTGCTGAACTGGAAATGACTATCCTGTCATGTTACTTGTTCTTTTTAATTAACCTCAGGAAATATTTCTACACTATTCACTGCACTACAGTCTAAGCACTTAAGAATAGCTTTCCCAGTTCTTAATTAGGGCAATAGTAGAATTCATTGGGTTCAAAACCCCTTTTCTCATAGTGTTACACTAATTACAGTCTGGGGTTGTATGTGTATGTGCGTATCCATATGTGTACAATATAGGATAGGTAGGTACTTTGTTTCATAATGCTGTAACTGTTTAGTACTAATGAAAAGTTTACTTTATCCACAATCTCAGAAATGTAAATGTTTAGGCGCATTTAGAAGGCCAATATTGTATTAAATGAAGTATTTCAAATAATAATTCAGCAAGCCTGTCAATTATATGTCACAGTCATTGTACCAAAACGATTCATTCACATGCTTCAGGCTAATATTAACATTGTAACTGAAAAGTTTCAAATTTCTTGCACACTTGCGATTATGGATAAATGAAAAGATATATTGCAAAATATAGAAAAATAATGTCTGGCATAATTAAAAAAATATTAAACATCTAATTTCTCTTTTAAAAAACTAATATCCTTTTTTTAATCTATTTTGTAATCTGACAATTCAGTAAACTATAGAGGTTCATATACTATTTTGCCACTTTTTGGTTATTTGAAAGAAAGAATTCTAGTAATTTCAGGAGGGAACAATGTATTTATCTTTCCTTTATTATTTATTATCATTTTCCTGGGGAAAAAATAATAACTTTTTATTAGACATTGGAACAGGATCAAACCATACAGAAGTGCTAGACAAAAAATCCTTTATATGTTAAATGTTTATAGATTTTCCTAACCTTCATTATTAAAAAATCTTTAAAATTTAAATATTTATATTTGAATAAGCATCTGGAAGATGCATCATTTTTGTATAATCTGTAAATTCTATATTTTTCTAATTTTTATTTTAACATTTAAATTCTGTATTGGAGAAGCAGGTGTTTGGATAAACTGTTTTATGTTGTGAATATATTAATCAATGAAAAGTACACATAAGTACATGTTGGTAGTTGCCAACTATATTTAACCACAACAGTTCATCAGTGTAAAGATGAATAACATCAGTTTATAGTTCCATTCAAAAGTTTAGCTCCTCTAGTCAAATTGTCTCTTTCAACTGACAGAATCTCTCAGTAATGGAAAGTTAAACATTATATCTTTCTCCACATATGAATGCATATTTAGTATTTATGTGCACTTGTTTACAGAATCAGAATAAGAAACAAGTGAGTATGGCAG